GTGGAAATATAATAAAGCAATAAAGCACAAACGACACAGACAGGAACAATTTGGCAAATGCTCCCCAATCAACCCCACTCAGTGACCTAGTCATAGCATGAGCAATGTCCTTTCTTCTCTCTGCATTAAAAGGGGAGTGCGTTCAGAGGAAAGACTGGACGCCAAACATGCCTGTGTTTTCATTCAGCAGGCGATTCTGGCTTCAAGCGAGGCTCAATGTCTCTGCTCCAGTCTTTCCAACTGTAAAATGGAGTTGGTAATAATGAATATCCTGAGTTAACCAGTTTTGATTTTAAGTCGAGGATATCCATTCACTATAGGGCCTCAGGTCGTAATAACCACTAGGGGGGAAAATCACTATAATCACGAGAAATAATTTTGTCTCTGACCTTCTGGCATGAAAAAGTGGAATTTATTTCATCTTTTTCATGGAATGTTTTAGTTTCCCATGTCATCTCACCTGTGTTGGCCTTCTTTGTGCTATCTATACAAGGACTGAAAACATTATGTACATCAGTATTTATTTTTTCATTATCAACCTCTGAAGGAAACTTTTTAGGCATTTCCCCCCCTAATCATCTCCCTTGCTTCATTAAATTTTAATACCAGAGATACTGAATATCTCTTCATGTACCGTGTCCTTTTGAAAGGCCACAAACCATTGTAAAGTGAGACATTTATGCTCCCCAAGAATCCATTTTCACTCCCTAAGGCAATTATTACCCCCCACTGAGGGCCATGGTAAAGACGGATCTAGTTTATAATGTGTGTTCAGAGCCTGGAAAGTCACCTTCTACACAGCAGGGATTTTTTTTTTTTTTTTTTTTTTTAAGTAATCTCTACATCCACTGTGGGGCTCGAACTCATGACCCTGAGATCAAGAGTCATATGCTCCAGACTGAGCCAGCCAGGCGCCCCTACACAGCAGGGATTTCGATGAGAGTTTCTAAACAGACTTAGAATACTGGAAAGAAAACTGGAGAGAGCAGGTAACTCAATATGACAGCTGGGCCTCACCTGGAGAGGTCTGGATTCCTAAGGAGGAAACACCTCACTCTTCCCGGACCACAGTGTCAGGGCTGATAGCGCCTCGCAAGTGGCCCCAAGCCTAAAATTTGTCTCAACTATAACCTAGCTTCATCTCTGAAGGGGCAGTCCATCAAATATGCATCTCTCAGTAAGCATGTAAAAGATTCTGTTACATATGAGAATTATAAAAATAAATGGCACATAATGGCGACCATGAAGAAATCAGAACCATGGGCAAAGGCACCCTCAGGTGTAGAGCTGGACTCATGGGGCAAGGCAGCCTTTGGGGGGGCAGAACGACACGACAAGGTCTAAATGAATGAAATGGACAGGATGTGGGCAATGAGGATCTTGCAGCAGCATGGCGAATACTGAGTATCAGTTCCAGCCATGTGGACGAGTGGGTCAGATCTGATTTTCTGCATTGTTACACAAAATTGGGATTTGATGTCAGATCTCCTCATTTTGAAGGGTGGGCTTTAATTTTTAAAACCCTTTGTGGCTTAAGAAAAAGAAACACAGGGGCACCTGGGTGGCTCAGTCGGTTAAGCGTCTGCCTTCGGCTCAGGTCATGATCCCAGGGTCCTGGGATGGAGCCCCGCTTCGGGCTCCCTGCTCTGCGGGAAGCCTGCTTCTCCCTCTCCCACTCCCCCTGCTTGTGTCCCCTCTCTCGCTGTCTCTCTCTGTCAAATAAATAAATAAAATCTTAAAAAAAAAAAAAAGAAACACACCTGCAGGCAATGTAACACTATCAATATGTAAACTATTTGCAAACAAATGGCAGGAAAAATTTCCTCTCTTCCTTAAGGAAAGAGGCTCAGATTCTAAGGGACTTCTCACATCACAGAAAACACTGAATGGGGCAGGGGTGCTGTGAAGCTCCTTCCTTTATCTAGTACATCAGTGGGGGCCTAATTCAACAGACTAATCTGGTGCGTAGTTATGCACAACGCTTCATATCTTTACCATATAAGAAAGACTGAGGAATAGTATACCCTAACTACTTAAAGAAATTTAAATGGCACCCTTCCATAACCACAAATGGAGCGGACTTCTGCATGATTTTCAAAATGCTACATATATCAGAAGCTCTTCATAATCGCCGATTTCAACTCTTACTTAACAACTTGATAATGGTGCATTTTCTGCCTAACTAGACAAAATGTAACAACCCCAAACTAGTATGACCCTACATAAAATTCCTACAACATGTAAATAATTGCATCTTCCTAAAATTTTAGTTGATATAAGGGCACAAATGAATCCTAACTCTGAGTCCAGTGACTTAACTTTCGCACAATTATAGACATTTTTTAGTAGTTTGGGATCTTTTATTAAAATACAGTCCTCCCTAAGTCACAGAGGCTATGCCAACTGTAGTCTCCAATCTCAAGAGTTCTGCCAGCTAGTTCCATTTATTTTTCTTCCCTTTTTATATCATGACTATACTATAAAATTAACCCAAAGTTTTGTATTTTGCTGACAAACAAATGCAGCATTTCAAAGCAGTGTCACTGAGAAACTGGCGCAATGTAAAAAAAAAAAAAAAAAAAAAAAAAAAAAAAAGTAACATATTGAAGAATTTCACAGTACTTATGGGATCAAGGTCAATGGCGAAGGCAAAGTCAATGTAGAAAAAATTACCTTATTTGTAAACTCTTTGGCTAAGATCTGAGTGATAGGAATAACCTTTTATTAAATAAGTGAATTCTCTTAGTGATATCAGAAGTTAATGTTAATAGCCATGAAGTGCTTAAAACTGAAAAAGGAAAATTATAGGCTGACTCTTTCTTAGCCATTAAATATTGTTGGCACACTCCAGTTCTGACATACTAACATAAAAGATAATAAAACGCATAAATCAATTGGCGGTCTGCTTCTATGATTTACTTTACTCAAACTGGTCAGTTAGAATATTATATATTGAATATCCTCTTAGCTATCTAAACATAGGAACCTCATAGAGATGAGAACTTCTGGATGAAGAATGGAGAAAGAAATGTATAGGAACCATCATCTAAATGAAGGGAAGTCCTTAATTATAATGGTTTTAGTATTTTATCTCAAACTTCTCTACATTTCCAACTTTGTCATCATCTTATGATAAAAACTGGATGCACTAAATGTCTACAATAAATCGGTTTTTCACTCCCTTTCTATTTTCACTTCAGCTAGGCTGAACTAACTAAGATGGACCCTAAATGAGAAGTCCATACAAAGTTGGTGGTTCCCTGAAGCTAGTTCTCGGCCTGTGTTGCTTCAACACAGACATTTTGACTATTTCACATCAAAACAAGAAAAATAAGGGTGACAGTGAGTTTCTCATGTGACTGAATTTATATAGTTTGTAAGATCTTTTGTCTGAGGCTATCCTTTCCATTAACTTGTTGATATTAAAGAGTATTTTGTTTTATGAAATGATATGGATAATAAATTGGAGCTTCCCTTGAATTTTTCAAATCAATGTATTCTCCAAAAGAAAAGGTCGATACACCTGTATCAGCTCCCTCTTTAATTTCTACTAAATCTCAAAATCTGAAAAACACTGCTCTTAGCATGTTTGTCCAATTATCTGTAGGTGTTTGGATGAGGCCCCAGCCAGGAAAGGACAGGAGACAGAAGGGGGAAGGTGGGTCATGAAGGGTAAGCCCTGGGGCTCACCTCCGGGGAAGGGGTTACCCCTACCACGAGTCCAGGCCCAGGACAGGGGGCTCCACCACTTAGCTGTATACTCTTATCACCCACCTGTTCTGAGTTCACTGTGACTATATTAAGAGACTGCTTCTAGCTGTATGAATTCATGAGTCTAATCATTTGGGCAATTCACTCTGTGACTTTGGAAACTGACCAATGACAGCATGAAGGCACTGACTGAGATGTCAATATTTGGATGATAAGTGATATAATGGACCCGTTGACTTCTGGCTTCTCCCCCAGGCATGTGGGATGAGATCGAGGTGAAAGGAGACAAGGAAACCTCAGGGTAGAACATTTTGCCAAGTCCTTCACCACTGTCTCCTTTGATATCTTGATCAAGAAATGCACCCCACCCTTCCTTCATTCTCATCTTCCTTCCCTTCTTCATCCACATGCACACATGCATGCATTCCTCTTTCCTTCTTGCTACACAAAAGGAGGGTCAGACAGAAGCCCTGCAAGGTCCTCTTTGGTGGGAGTTGGGACTGCTGGTATTGGACAGTAGGACAAATCTCAAAACCTATCAAAAAATTTATGGGCAAACTCTAAGGGGTCAAAATTTGGGGTATTAGCCTAGTTAATATTTCTTCCTGAAAGTCACTGATTTTAGACTGCTGCAAGACTCAGAAGCTAAACTCAATTGTTTTTAGAAAGAAATATTATTTCTCTCAATGAGAGCAAATACTAACCAAACAAAACATGCAACGCAAATGAACACAGATTTCTAAAAGAGAGGAAACCAAAAACAGCAAAAACTCATCTTAAAATTCTAAGAATCTATCATAATTTCTCTCAAAGTTCAGTTGAGTTCAATGGTATTCTCTAGCTCATGTGAATATTTCTTTTCCTCAGCCTAGTCAAACTTTCCTTGAGGGATTTTAGATTAATTTATTAGCTACTTCAGAGTTTTTTCTTTAGAAAATGGTGGAAACTATGAACTGTGTTTTCTGACTGGGAGATTTAATTCTCCACAAGTGCTCTGGCTTCACAGTCCCACAAGTAAAACACACTCAGGAAAGCAGCCGCCTTTGGATTCGATTTCTCACTCATTTTTCTCCTTGTGTGAGCATGTGCGTGTGTGTGCACACACGCGCACACACACACACACACACACACACACATATACACTGTACCATGAGAACAGGGGCCTCTGTCCTTGGAGACACGGCATGAGACACCTTTCAATGGGAAGTGGTGTGGTGTCCCCCTTTGACCCCTGACAGTTGCTGGCACCAATAGCCCTGCCCAGGTTAGGGGAAGAAGGGGACGCTGACCTGCACTGGCTCAGGGGGAAGCTGGACCACATGCTGCATGCGCTCACTGTGGTGATGTCTCGACTCTTCCTCGTAGATCACATCCCTCTCATGCTGGGGAAGGTTCAGGAAGCGACGGATGGTACAGAGGTTCTCCCAGAGGGTGCGGTTCTCTGGGCTGGGGTTCTCCTTCCAGCGGAGCAGTTCGCACAACCAGCCCTAGAGAGAGAGAAAGAGAGAGAGAAGGTCACCTGGGTTAATCTGTAGGGTGCAGAGCAGCAGAGGATGGCTGGACTGCAGTGTAATGCCATCCCAGTGTAGCTTATTTTTCCTGTCAAAATTGTTCCTACCCACCCAGGAAGATACTGCAACAGCTGACAACTTTGAAAAACCAACCAATGACCACAGAGGTGGTTACACCAATAGCCAAGAGTCTTCATGCTTGTTAATCGCCTTATCACCTTTCCTACTGAATATATTCTCAATGCATTTACAGGTCCTTTGTAAAAGATACTCAAGCAAGGTGACAGTTATCTAATTCTCTGAAAAGAAAGTAATTCATGTTGCTCAGCTACAATTTTTTAAAAATTACCCAGTTGGATAGTTTCCATCCTAAGAGAAGAGTGAAAATGAACAAATACGTATTACAACATAGTAAATTCTAAGGAACAAAACATGTCTGAGTGTAGGGCGCCTGGGTGGCTCAGTCGTTAAGAGTCTACCTTCGGCTCAGGTCATGATCCCAGGGTCCTGGGATCGAGTCCCACATTGGGCTCCCCGCTCGGCAGGAAGCCTGCTTCTCCCTCTCCCACTCCCCCTGCTTGTGTTCCTGCTCTCACTGTCTCTCTCCGTCAAATAAATAAATAATATCTTTAAAAAAAAAATGTCTGAGTGTAAACAGCACTGAACTCTCTAGAAAGGAAATAGTCTTAGAATTTTCAGTAACTCCACAAAATAAAAACCACCACCTTAGCTAGAATGAAAAAGTTGTATATTTGCTCCATCTGTGAATGCCTTGGGCTCTAGGCCCTCTTAACGATCCCCTTCCCGCCACAGCCACACCTGCAGGAAGGTAGGCAGTTGGCCGGGTCACACCTGCAAATGTGTCTCCCAATTCTGGCATCCGGATGTTCTCTCGCTTGAAACTGCACGAGAAAGAAAATGTAATGCAAATAATGATGGATTATATGAAAATAATACAGAGGATGCTGTCAACATCGCTCACTGACTCATGTCAAAATATTTTACCCAGTAGCTTTCTAACCCATCACTTCCAAGCTACATCGCTCATTTTAAAAACAAGAACTGTCCCACATCACGCCTCTCGCAAAAGAGTAAGAATTTTTCTAAAAAGGTGCAGAAATAAACACAAATAACTTTGAAAAAATTAAATCCCAAATCTCAACAAATTTTTATATCATAATTTGTAAGCCAATGAAAGTTCCTGACATGCATCATAAAAACCCCATATAATATCATAAGCCGTTGTTTGTCTAACTCTCCACTGTGTCTTCTGCCTTTACCCAAAAAAAAAGGGCAAGATTTGATTATCTCCGCTGCATCAGCCAAGACAGCAACACCAGCTGTTCTCATTGTGCAGCCTCTTCCTCGCGGCCTCCATGTTAATAACCTGATCATTCCATTTTCTCCTTCAACTGCCGGCTGCAGCACCGCGAAGAGACAAAAACCCAGGCCCATCTGCAGCAGCTGTAGGCACTGAACTGTGAAGCCACTGGGGATTTATAAACTAATCTGTAACACAACACTGCCTTGTTTTTACAAGTGAGAGGCCACATTTGCGCAGACCTGATCTTTTCTTGCAATAAACTGGGAGCTGGGGAGAGTTAGAGGGTTAGGAAGAATGAAAACAAGATATCGAATCATTTGCTTGGAAATGTTTTTCCAAGTATTTTCACAGACTTTTTTTTTTCAAGTCAATTGAGAGACAGGTAAATGCTGATTTTCAAGGTGCAACATATATGAAAATTGAAGACAATTACGTTTTTTAGCCCTATCAGAAAATAAATTATATTAAAAAAAAATCTAGTCCCAACGTGTTTCCTCAAGGGTTTCTCTGTACAAAGGAAAGAATTCTTGAAATGGAAAATAAACCATCTGTGGAAAAATAAGCTCCTCTTTCTCTGTCTTTTCAAAGATCTGAATAAGTCTCCAACTGAACTCTTTCAAATGTTTCAAACAGGTATGTTTAACATCTCCCAGGGGAAGCTATAGCATAGAGGCCAATCATTTAACAGAAAATAAAAACAAAAACCTACATCTGTTAAAAGACGAAGTTCTGAGATACCCAGACCTTCAGGAGGACAGCACCTGCTGTTCCGCTTGAGGAGTGAACTGCATTGTGGGAAGCTGCAGCTTGAAAGGGGACAGGTGACAGCTGAGTGGTATCTCCACTTACGAGACGCGGAATGTCTTGCACAACATTCATGGCCGCATTTGATTTATATGCGCTGTTATAATCTGCACTCATTACAATCACTTAGGACAAACTACAGGCCTCGTTATGGACTGTGTGCTGTCTGCCATCAGTCTTTAAGAAGTGTGGTGCTCAATTTGCCCACTGACATGCAAGGTCCTGACCTTGAAGCTATTAGGGAGCAGATTAGACACAAGTGTGATCATGTGTGCAGACATAAGCAAACCAAATTAATTTCTGGCACAGGGAGGTAGCCAGCAAGACCCTGTTCTTTGGGCACCAGAGAACTTCCTCAAATCCCTGATGGTGCTGAGCTAATAGCATGTTTAAGGGAACCCGGTTTTGAAGATAAAGCACATTCATGGTATTTAGAGGGTTATTAATCTAGTTTCCCCACAAAGTGTTTGCTTGGCTGATCAGATTAAGGGATGGAGCCTTCAACAGTGCACCCCCACCACAGCAGGCCCCAAGAAATCTGTGATACTTCACAGCCTTGGACATATTGCACCATGTGTACCCAGCTGCTTCAATAATTAGCTTATGAATGTATCAGCTGGTTCTGTGATTTTTATAAATAATAACTAACCTACAGAGCAGAAAGATTGTCAAGAGCCTTACGGTAGCACAAAATTACAAGGTGCTCCTAACTCTAACTTGCTCTTCCACTAAAGGCCGATATTCCCTACGAGTGGCACTCCCGTGATGCCATTTCTAAACATTTATTTTGCATCAGAAATGGAGATGTATGTTTGTCCGTTTTCTTCATGGCGACCATAATTTACATTCCTTTTGCTCTGACTCGCGGCTCGTTTCACGTATCTGAATGCTTACCTTCCGGAAATGTATTCTTCCACCCCACTTCCTGCCTCACCCTCCATCTTTTTGTTCACATGATGCTTCCACCAGCCCATGTGGGATGCTTATCTCTGTTTTCTCAATGGGGTCTCTTATTAGCTTGTTTGGTGGCTAATGAATGTGTGAGAAAGTGCCATGCTGCTGCATGAGCACACACGTATGTAACTGTGAGCGAACCCACCACAGAGGAGATAAAGAGTCTCCACACTGGGATTTTTTTCATTTATATAATTTTTGCATGCCGTCCAAGAAAGTTTTGCAGTATCAGGAAAAAAAAAGTGTAAATGTCAAATAAAACAGTGACAGATGACAGTATTCTCTATTGAATAGCACTGTTTCTGTCGTGCATGTTCAATGGGAACTCATGAATTATTAATAAACAAATCTCCTTTTTCTGTTAAAAATCTCAAGTAGGTTTTTTGTTGTTGTTCCCTGTGTGTTATGTGGAGAATTCCAGGAGAATTATTTTCGTTTCAGAAATGCTGATACAGAAGTTTATCTGATTTCCAGCCTTGGTCAGCTCTGTGAGCAGGCACCATGAACTGTGGGGTGCATACCTCTCTGTGATTTCTCTTTTAGGCTGGCTGTAAGTTTTGACCAAAGGTTAGCTGAACATTCATATAGTCAGTTTAGCCCTTCTAGTATGGTAAAACTGAGGCTAAGTGAATTATAGCTAGGAAGCTCAGAGTATTCAACTTGGAACCCTGACATTAAGTGACTGGGTTGCCTTTGGGCACTTTGCTACCCTCTTACAGCTTCTGGGATATAACGGTAAAAGGAGGAGTTTACAAAAGATGGTCTCTAAGTTCCCTTTCCAACTCTACATTCCATGATCTGTTACCTTGTTATCCGTCAGAAATAGATAATAATTAGCCATCAGGGTTAAAGTACAAAGAAGAAGCTACCTTGACCAAGAGATTAAGGGCAACATCACCAGTGAGAACATATGCACATCATGAAGCCTGTGGTATGAGGCACTGCAAAGAACACAACCCAGTATCTGCAGCAGTCTTGCTAAAAATGCACAACGTCAGTTGAATCATGACAAACCCAAATTGAGAGATGTTCAGCAAAATAACGTATCGGTATTCTTCAAATTGTCATTAAAAAGAAAAAGAAGAAGAAGAAGAAAAGAAAAAAGGAAGAAAAAGGAAAGACCTAAGAATTGTCACAGACTACAGAAAACTAAAGAGAAATAGTAACTAAATGCAGTTCAGTCTCTGGATGGGATCCTGGCAAAGAAAATGCTCATTAGTGGAAAAACTACTGAAATTAGAATAAACTTTTTAGTTTAGTTAAGAGCATTAAAACAATGTTAATTTCCTGGTTTTGATAATTGCACTATGGTGATGTAGGGTGCTAACATTAGAGGAAGTTAGGTGAGGGATATATGGAAACTACTATTTTGCAACATTTCCGTGAGTCTGAAATTTGTTAAAAATAAAAAATGTTAAAAAGTACAAAGCACACCAAACTTACATAGAAAAATATACATGGAGTCTAAGTGTAATGATGCCAAGGAATTTAGGATTAAAACTCTTTTGCCTTCAAAAATCTGAACCCAGAGAAGGAATATAAGTTTAAAGTTGCATCCTTGCAATAGATGGTTAAAAGAGTCCTTAAGCATTCAGTGCGTAAGTAAATAATAACTACAAACATCTCATTTAACCATCTAATCAGCCTCCTAAACAACGGTCGAAAAAACAACTCTGACCACTCTTTCCAACTATGAAGGTGAGGCGACACACAATCCATGTGTTCTTGAAAAGTATGTCAATCTAAATTTACAAAACAAATCGTGTTGCAAATATATTAGGACTCCTTATGATTTGAAGAAATGTGGCATTATTTCTTTTTAAAAGGCCAATGATAATCCCATAGTTGATCTTTTAGTGAGTTGATAGTTTTATTAAAGATTTACCTAAATGAG